TTTGGGGAAGTTCTGGCTTATTGGCCTTGTTCTTAATGGGTTGCTTGTTAGCTCAAGGATTGGAGAGTCCCCTGCTTACAAATAACATGTGCTCAGGGAAAGGGAACAAAAGTAATATTTACCTACCAGACTCTGATTCTGCATCTGCACACACGCTGGGTCCTACTATAAGTCTCATTTACCCATTTCAAGAGCTCTGTGAGATGGGTAAGGTTGCCCTTGTTTTACAAATGAGGAAACCAAGGAGGCGGAGGATCACAGGGAGTCAAAGTTGATCCAAGGCTATTGTCTTGGTCTGTTTTGTATTGCTATACCAGAATTCCAGAATGAGTAATTTACCAAGAAAAAATATATATTTCCTAGCATTCTGAGACTGAGAAGTTCACGATCAAGGGGCTACATCTGGTGAGGCATAATGAATCACATGACAAGAGAGCTACAGCCAGAACAGGATCCAGAGAGAGAGAGAGAGAGAGAGAGAGAGAGAGAGAGAGAGAGAGAAAGAGAGAAAGGCAGAGACAGAGACAGTGACAGAGAAAGACAGAGCAATAGAAAGCTATGAAAGTCAGATTCACTTTTAAAAGTTAGATTCACTTTTATGACAGAACAGTCTCCCCATAAATAAGTTACTCTTGTGATAATAGCATTAATCCATTCATAATGTTGAAATCCTCATTACCAGATTATCTCTTAGTGACCCCAATACCAGCACAGTGACAATTATGTCAACATGTGTTTTGAAGGGAACAGCCAAACCATAGTACCTGTCTTACTCAAGATCCCACTGCAATAAAGCTAGCATCTACACGAATGATAAGGAAGAGCCATATAGGAAGAAGAAATCTGCATAAAACTGCTAATTATGCCCACTGAACATGAATGTGTTTGCTTGTTTCCAAGCCCTCCTAAAAAGCAATGTATTTTCTGGCCTCAAGTTTGCATTAGAAACCAAATTAGCCTGTACGTTGCTGAAGCAGAATGGCAGTGAATACAAGTATGAAAAGAACCTAAAATCTCAATAATCTAAACAACATCCTGCTTCATGTGACATCTTTAGACCAAAAGCTCTCCCAATGGGGTTACCAGAGGCTCCAGCTCAGGTCAGGGATGAAGTTTAAGACTGGAGGAAGACTACAAGCAAAGAGATTTAACTCTGCAGCTGGTCCTGAACATATGGCCCCTCCTCACTTGCCAGGTATCTTCTCTAGTGTGGACTCCAATAGGAAATGACAAAATTTCTCTAGTGTGGACTCCAATAGGAAATGACAAAATTTGACTCCAATTAAAGAACTGGAGTCTTGTTTTTAAACTAGAAGTGATAATTCAGCCGTGGGTTATGAAATTACTTTATAGGGTTCTGGTTGATTTTTTTAAAAGTAGAATATAGTAGGATAGAATAGAATACAAAATGAAATATGCATTGTGAACTTATTTTATGTGTGTATGAGTACACACATGTGCGTGTGTGTATGTGTGGAAATATATATGTACATAAACACAATGATTACATACATACATGGCATAAGCACACATATCCATATGTGAATACTAGATCCTATGGGTTTGCTAGTCATTCTCTGATAAAAAAAAAACTTATTCTGTTACTTTGGGACAGGAATCCTCCCTAACTACTTACAATGTAATTAAGTGATTACTAAATATTTCCTTTATGAGTGTGTACAGATGAATGATACTTTACTGAAAATTAGCAGTTCATCTTATAACCATATCAAATGATTAAAATTTTGAAAAAGGAAAAGAACATTCTTGAGTTGTGAAATTATAGGTTTTAGATTTTTCCCCTGTATTTTCTTTCCATTTCATATTATCTTTAATGAATATGTCTTTTATAATGAGAAAAATATGGATATATCTTTAAAACCAACTAGACCCTCAATACTCTATGCGTTACAGAGGATATTGTGGCTTTTTTTAAAAACCACAAAGCTTTAGAAGGAAGAAAAGCAAAGATTATAAAAATGCAGAACAACTTTCAAGAGCAAAATATATTTGAGTGGTTCTGTTTGCTAATAGGGGCCATGACTATGCAGTAAGTGCATAGTTTGTGGCCATTTTCTGCTGGTGTCTCCAACCACTACTTGAGTTGCAAGGATGGGGTAGAGGGAGTTTAAGTACATGCAAGTTTTATCACTCCATAAATGTTTGAACAATAAGCAGTGTCATGTATCTTGGGTTTTCTCCTGGCAGGAAGGCCCTCTCTGAATGTCCTTGTGGATAAAGGCGGCAAATGTTCTCAGGGTAAAGTGAAAGAGTTCTCAGGGTAATTAGACCACAGTAATTCTGTAGCAAAGATTTATAAGGCCCAGCATCCAGTACTAGTTGGCCCTGCAAAACTGATTTTGTTCCTTCAACTTTGAGTCACATTTACTAATTATCAAATATATAACTAAGTGTTTTGGGACAGACAACAGAATGAAAATGAGCAAAATTAATCTTGTCACCCAAATCATATCCAATGTCTTTCCCCTTCAAATTCACTTCATTAGAAGAATTTTTAGTGCTATTATAATCCTTTTTGCTATTTATCACCTGAAACTGCTCTGCTAAAATGCCTTACTCAACACTTTAAACTTACCTGGGATGGTACATTAAGAGTAATATTGATAGCAATAATATAATTAATACTTGCTAAGTTTTAATGCATGGGTTATGTATAAGGAACATACCAAATACCATCTATTTGGTCCCCACAGTAATCTATGAAGTGTACACTTGTGATACTCCCACTTCACAGATAAAGAAAGAAGACACTGAGGGGAAATGAGTGTGGCACAACCATGAGTGCCCTGCTAAGGAATTTGGACTTTAAACATTTTATGAAAGGAAGTGCTAGGCTGTGGGTAACAGTGTATAAATGTTGACCTGAAGGTAAAAAACACCAGTGGGCAAAAACTACTTGGTAGACAATTGCTTGTTCTCCACATAGATACTCAGGCCCTACAAAACTATGAACTACCTGCAAACAGGCTGGGGATTTAAGGATTTTGTGTCTTTCTATTTAATTTTCATTTTGTGGCAGTCTCAGTCTTCCTTTTGTCCCCATGGTAAGTTCCAACTCCACCTTCAAGAGCAGCTTTGTGGGACAGTTTTTACTTGTAGAATTAGCTACTGTACCACTTGCCTGTGTGAAAGACAGAGCAACATGAAAACAGAGCAAGGAGTTGGGAGTCAGGCTGATCTGTGCTGCTGCAAACAGGACTGTTATAAATGGCAATAATATTACGTAACTTGCAACGTGTGTGAGAGTTTTAGATGATACTCTGGCACTTCAGAAGCCTATAGAAATTATGTCTCTTTTAATTAGTTTATCATTCTAAGAACATCATCTCTCTCAAGAGACTGAATTATACCATACTCTGTTTTCTCTTTAGTTCCTACCACTACACTACACCAACATTGTCACATTAGGTTGACATTGCATTAGGTTGTGAACAAGAGTCCGTACCTCCCACCTGCCTTAACTATATTCTGCCTTCTTGCCAGAATAAATGTCAAGCTCATGTGATCTAGGCTGAACAGTGCTCCCACCCCCAAATTTTCCATCCCTATGAATGTGTTATTTTATGTGGCAAAAAGACTTTCAGAAATACATGAAAGGATGTTGAGATAGAAAGATTATTCTGGATTTACCTAATTGGATTTGCTACATTCACAAAGATCCTCATTAGAGTTAGCAGGGTCAGAAGAGGGGGGGAGATGACAATAAGGGCAGAGGCTGGAGCAATGCAGTTTGAGGATGAAGGAAGCGTCTGCGATATAAGGAATGCAGGTAGCCCCTACAGGCTGCGAAAGGCAAGGAAATGGATTCTCTCAGGCCTACAGAAGGAACACAGCTCTGAAGACACCTTTGAGCTCAGCCTATTAAAACTCATTTTGGATTTGTGACATCTAGAACTGTAAAATAATAAATTTTTGTTGTTTAAGTCTCTGAACCTGTGAACTTGTTACAGAAGCAATAGATAACTAATACACCTGAATGGCAATACCTTCCTTTCTCCCCAACATGTAGTAGTGTCTTTCATAGTATGAATGAAAATGCCACCTGGCACCTCTCCTGCTTTCTACAGTTGTGTGACATACAATCGTGATCTCTCTGATGTTAAAGAATACACTGAAGAGTAGTGAATTGCAAATAAGTTTCCCCTGAGCTGAGGTTAACTAGGAAAAAAAAATGTATTCAAGACATGAGCATAAGTGCTGGGCATCGTAGGGCATTTGTGTAATCCCAAAATTTGGGGAGGCATAGTAGAAGGATTATAAGTACAAGGCCAGCCTGGACAATGTGTAGCAAGACCCTGTCTCAAAAGAACCAAGGACTGGAGATGTACCTCACTGGTAGACTGCTTGCCTAGTATGCTTAGGCCTTGGCTTCCATACCTAGCACTACCAAAAAGGAAAAAAAAAAAAGTCACCTGCATGCTTAGAGCAATACTATTGGAATATAACAGAATGCAATAAGAACACATTCAGCAGATCTGCCAATGAGGAATCCCCATGCAAGCAGGGATATGAGTACAGGAACTGCTTTTAGTATCTCATTTTTGTGAAATAGCAACATTTTCAAAGAACCAATAACTAGTAAGATATTTTGATGTAATTCCCTGAAAGTATCAGTGGTGAGTATTCATTCATTCATTTTTATTAATTTCCTGATAATACTGTGATAGAGTATAAATCTTAAGGGATAAAATCAGATTCTTATTTATGTACTAAATTTTTCAAAAGTGGCCTAGTAAAGCTTAAATGCTTTAAATTATTTATTGACAAAGCTAATTATAATATAAAAGTAACTATGCAACTGTGAAGTAATGCAATTGAGTAAATGTGTAAATATAACCATGTAATGCAAAACAAAGTCAGTCCTTATTAAACCCAACCTTCCTGCAAAATATTTTCTGCTTAAAATTCTGGAGATGTTCTCTTATATGAAAATATGGTATATCAGCATTATTATGAAGAAACATTTTGACAGTACCACAACCAGATTCATTCCATTTATTTTTAAGATTTGAAGGATAATAAAAACATTAGAAGATTCTTTTGCAGTTATATTGAAAGTGAACAAAACCCAAACATGCTACACAGTGAACTCCAGAAGGGCAGCTGGTAGCTAACTCTGGAGGAGTTTCTTGACTACTTTCTTATTCAGGGAAGCCTGCGGGTCCAAGCAAATTTTCCTCCCATTCTTCAGAGTGGCTCTGCCAGGAAAAAGAGAAAAGAGGCAAGGTTAGTCCCTGGGTAGAAAGACTGGATTAGACAGGGATAGGATGGGCAGAGGAGGCAATGGGCAGCATGCTTGAGCAGGGCAAGGACTCACATCATCTGAGCGGTGTCGCAGTGGGGTCCTGCCTTGATCACCTCCAGGCTGGTGATGTGCTTGGGATGCACTGAGGAGGTGGTCTTCACACACATGCAGTGCAGGTCCCCATCTCCTTCTTCTGGTTCGGCTTAGGGTAGAGGAGGTGGAGGGGAAGGGTGGTTGGGGAAGCAGTGGTGAGTCCCTAAGTGGCCAGAGTTTTCTCGGGATACTTTCCACTGCCTTGGCCTTCATTTCCTTAGCTACAAATCACACCTCCCTCAGAAAGCAGTTGTAAGCACTAGGTGGTGAAGCTCACTTGCAGACCTTGGAGTTGGGCCTGCAGCTACTTAGCAAACCAATAAAGTGTGGTTGGTATCATTAGTGATAATGACTGCCCGGCCCCAGGATTTTCCGGACTGGACTCTCTCCCTCCCAACCCCTTTGCTTGGGCTCTTACCACTGACGAAGATGACCACAGCTGGCAGGAGCAGCAGCCCTAAGAGCAGCAGCCCTGGGATGGGCCGAGGGCAGGGGCTGCTGAGGGCCCCTAAGAGGCTCATGTTGCCAAGGTTCCAGCAGAATTCCAGTGCACAGGAGAGGTGGGGGCTGGAGCTCTGCAAGCCAGTGTCTCCAAGGACCCTCCCTGAGCCTTTTATCCTCTCTGTGGGTCCAGCCCGGAAACCTGGGATGGAAGATGAGGAACTGCAGTACAGAAGTGAAGACTCTTTGGGGAAGAAGAGTTGGGCTCTGGCCAACCAAGATTAAAACAAAACAATGCAAAAAAGCTGGGGTCAGCTGCCTTGGCTGGGGGCTGGCAGCAGAATCCACATCTCCAACTTGAACTTGAATATGTGCACATTTATGGAGTTAGAAACAGTAGAGCTTGAATCTTACAAGTTGTGTGTTGTATGCCTAATAGAGTTCTCTAGTCACCATACAATTTGCAGAGCACACATCTGCGGGACCCAGATAATTTGTTTCCTTCCCTGTTGTAATTACATTACCCCAAACTGCCAATACTTTCCTGCCTTTCTTAATGATTATTATTGAGTTTGGCTACCATGTGATTTAAAGATGTGTTGTTTATAATTGTTTTCTGCTACTAAATAGTTGGATTTTGTCTATAGGCAATGTCTCTTTTCTGAATTTCATCAGGATGTAGGAGTCTTCACCAGTCTCTTGGATGGGATTTACCAGGCTCCACTAATCATTATCCAATATACCGTAGGATGCAAAGCGTATTATCCTTATCACTCTTGTAGAAAAATTACAAAATTTTTTTGTAAAGATTTTGGCATTGTTTTTGTAAAAATTTAAACCTGGATGCTTTTCCATTTGGCTCCATCTTGGATATTATGAGATCAATGTGAACCATGTTCTTTAGCTTAACAGGGATGACTTGGCTCTTGATCAGAGCAAGGTACACCCTCATACCAAAGTCAGAAGTTCTCTGTTACACAGGTCACTAGTTGTGACTCTGGGTCAGGAGTCCACTGTAAGCAACTATCTGACATCCCCATGTTTAGCAGGATGCAACTTCTGCTGGAATATGCAATTTAATTCCAGGCTCCTAGGGCCTGGAAGTTTTTTCCTACAACTCTCCTACCATTCACCTCTTCAGTTGGCTAAATCCTCTTCATATTTCTGGTGTCAGCTTAAATGCCATTTATTAGAGGGCCTACCCTGACAACAATACCTATTATGTTCTCTTGTTGTCCCATCTCGTAGCACCCATGCATTCCCTGTCTCTTGTTGATAATATACATACAAACATGTGTGTGTTTGTGTGTGTGTGTGTGTAAGTGTTTAATAGGGTTTCTTTCTCTAAATGGAAAGATCTATGATAGTAGAGTTTGTAACATTTTTCACTCTTTTAGCTCAGTCATAGGGAATCAGTACAAAATAGCTACATTTGTGAAGACAGTACGTGTTGTAAATGGTGATGATAAAGTGCTGTTTTGACTTGTTCATGTGTTGTTAGTTAGGGCAATTGGAGATCTCTATATTAACATGTGGCAATCTGGTTGTAATTATCTGTCTGTTTGTCTGACTCTCTCACTTGACAGTGAGATCTTCAAGGACAATTCTCTGTGATATGGTTTTGAACATTCAGCATCTAATACAATGACTATTGCAAAACATGTTGTAATTGATATATGTTTATGGAACTGAAACTTGAGACCCTTTCTCGGTTAGCAGCAGAGAGAATGGATAGGAGAGGTAGTTTTGAATATGGATGGCGACATACTGAATTTATACAACTTTACCCAGATTTCAATATTTGCAGTGTAAATGCAATCAGGCAGAAGTGAGTGGCAATTATGTCACCTTTTCTCTGCATTTAAACAAAATGATTCAATTCATACGCACCACAGTAAGACTCCTGCATCTCATATAGTATATTGCAAACACAGGGTCATATCTTAAGAGCTGACCCTGCCATCTTTCAGTTGGAAACCACCAAAGACATGATCTAGATGTATGAGCTTAACAAAAATGCCTGCATTTCCCATTTACTGCTTTATTGGAGGCTTTTTAATATTTTTGGTTAATTATTACTGAATATATGTGTATTTTGTAGATAAAAGATTTCAAGGCATTTGGTCCATGGTGGTGAAGAGATAGAAAGAACAGCCTTTAGTGCAAAGTTTGTGAGCTATGTGCTTAGCATGAAAGTGTTTTCCTAAGTCATGTATAGATTAGAGTGGGTGCAGTTATTTCTTCTCCTATGACCAGTATAGTACATACACTAGGATGTTTATGCAACAAGTACTATTTTATGTGTCAGTAACTATGTGATAGGTAATGTAATCTCACAGAGAAGGAAGAATTGAAGGAAATGATATGGTATAATGGGTAGGAACAGTTTTTTTGATGATGCTAGAAATCAAACCCAGGGCCTTGAACTTGGTAAGCAAGTGTTCTACCACTTGAGCCATAACCCCAGCACAAGCTTCTTATCCCCTAGTCATCAGGTTTCTTCTCTATAATACTGGTGATGCTCATAGTTCTAATAATAACCATTTCTAACATTTGTATGTGGCTTGCAGTATGACATGTAGTATTTAAAACACTTCAAATTTAACTCTTTTAATCTTTATGTCAAGATAAAGATTAAAAGATAAAGATTAAAGTATGTGTCTATGAGACAGACACATATTATTCCCATTTTAGAGATGATGAAACTAAGGTACAGTGAGATTAAGAAACTTGACCAAAGATAAATGACTAACAATTGATGGAGCCGAGTCACCTAGTTATTCTGGCTCCATAGTATAGGCTCTTAACCAAATTATAGGTCTTTTATAAGAATTATTTAATTTGTGCATGCAAGACACTTAATATGCTATGCATTTTTAAAGTGATTAAGAAAATTTGGCTAATATACTACATTAAAAATGTCACAAATCATCAACTTAGTAACTTTTGTTGGCACTATTGTGAAATACTAATTGTTAAAAAGAAAGAGAAGAGAATTAAAGCTGTTTTCCCAATAAGACTGCTAACATTGATAAGATTTGATAACAAATTAATAGTAGATTTTGATTTCATGATAATACTTCTGAAGCACTAGTCTGGGTGTAAATTTTATGGGTATAAATGAATGAAGGTTCTATTGATTAAAGATAGAATAATCAGTATTCTAAGAAGGTTTAAGTTCTCTATTCTACTTATTTGCAAGTCCAATTCTAATAACAAAATTGTAAGCATACAAACATTAGGTAAATGCAAATATACCACATTCAACATTTATCATCAAACAAAACCCATTTTCTTACTTTTTTTCTTTCAGAAAATACTGGAGTTTTTTAAAGTAGAATATATGAATGCTTTTTTCATTTTGTGTTTTTTGCTCTATTACTGTTAAATATATTCACTTTGAAGTAAATAACCATGCCTTATAAATCTTACATTCTACAACTTTATTTTGTTTAAGGTTTGAAGGTCAAAATAAACATTCGAAAAACTTTTCACAGAATGTTTTGAAACAAGACATTTTAGGTCTAAGTCACTGAGAAACTCTAAATGCCTAAATGCATGAAAAAACATTTATTGAGCAAGTGTTCTATGCTTGGTTCTGTGTGATTCCTCTTATCATTGACTATTGTGAAATCTATTAATCACTGTGGGCGTTTCAAGGCTAAAAATAGAGAAAGAAAAATTGACAGAAATGTGTTTGGAAAGAAAATTTCAAATAAAGAAGTTCAAAGCACAGCACAGTATTTAGCCAAGAATTATGGAGCAAACCATAAATTATGCTACAACAACGCTTGCTTATTTTCATCTTCTTTCTGTCATATTAGAATAAAATGTGACTTCCATGCAGAATAGAAAATGTATCCAAATTTTCAGACAGTGAAAACAGGTATCCTGGACAAATAAGAACACTAAAAAGCCAAGGCTTCAAAATCCTACCCTTCCTTGAGGTAAGATATGGCAGAAAATAAACAGATTAAGCAGCTGACTAATGACCTCCTAATGCGTTCCGAATCATTTTCTTGACTGCAGGAGCTTCTGGGTCCAGGCAGATTTCCTTCCCATTCTTCAGTGTGGCTCTGTAGGGGAGAACAGAATTATTTGTGCATATCCTAACTTGAATGTAAGAATGGATCCTTGAGGCTGGAGGAAGCAGTGTAGGTGGAAAAGAAGTGGAGGGCTTCCCCAGTGAGACAATAGTACAGAAGCTGAGACTTACATCACTTGGACTTTTTCACAGTGAGCTCCTGGCTTGATCATTTTCAAAGTCTGGACAATAGTGGGATGAATTCCAGAGACTGTGTTCACACATGCACAACGGAGTTCAAAATATGGTTCTCCAATTTCAGCTATGGTAGAACATATGACTATTAGTGATCATGATTATTTTTCTCGGTTTCCTTATTTGTAAATTGAAGATAATTATGCCTCTCTCATAACATCATTGTGGATATGATTTTGATAACATACTCACCATTTTACCCAGAATGCCTGAAGTTCCCACTAAGTATATCTTAGAGTTATTAGTGTAATAGCATTCTCCAACCCCAGGAGCACCAGGATTGTCTTCCCCCAAATTTCCTGGACACACCTGCAAGAAACTGCAGGGCTTCTACCTTCACCTTTCCCTAAATTTGTCTTACGTTGTCCAGTGGCAGAAGGAATCAATGCAGTCAGGAGCAGTGACAGCAGCAGCAACACCCATGCGATGTGAAGGGGGGTGGCACTGGTGCAGGAGGAGGTGGCATTGAGTCTGAGACTCATGATGGAGAAGACTCAGCTAGAGTAATTTCAAGAACCTGGAGATCTCAGTGTGAGGGCAATTGCTGCCTAGAAGCCTACAGCCAAGTAGCTTTATATATGATCTCCAAACGTCTTTGATATCATTGCTTCGAGGTCAGTAAGGAGGAAGAGGTAGGAAAAGGGGAAGTGAGGGTATGTAATGATATTCCAGTAAAAGCATGGCCAAGTTATGCCCAACCTAGATAAACTGGACAGGTCAAAATTCCTGCCAAATTAGTTGTAATTTATGCATCATTTCACATTCCTACTTGCCCCCTCATACTTATATCCCTTACACAAATATAAGCACTCTACTTAGGGAGGTGAGAACTAGATTGAAATACTACATGTATTTTCTTTGTATGACCAGGTAGTGATAAGCCATGACTTTCCTATAAGGCAGTTTAGAAGCTTAATTGATAGTTTATGAGTGCCTGAACACATTAGCATGTGGGTCTTGAAAAAGAGAGTAATCTTCTCTTTCCAGATGGCAAAGAAAGCCACTGTTCTTTCTTTGGTTGTTGATAAATGTCAGGATTCATTGGGAGTATGTGGGTAAAATATGAGTCAATTACCAGCAAAAACCTACTTTGGTTACTTCTTTCTGTCTTCTAAATGAATTGTCTTTTGTAATTTCATTCAGAAAGTAGAAGCAACCTCAGCCTCCTCCGTGTTATAAAATGAGCCACTTGTTTCTGCTATCTAAATATACTTTAAAAAGCAAGATGCTTTTCCTTTTATTTTTAATTTAACAATGATAGCTGATGTAATCTGTTGTAAAAGATTCATGAATAAAGATATCCGTGGAATAAGGTGCATGGTTTCCTCTTCGCAGTTACTCTTCATTACTGTTCTTCAGTAGTACCCCATTGGTATTAATTTATATTAGTTTTCTATTCTGTTTGCACTTATATATACATGTGCCTACATAAGCAGAGGCACACAAATAACGAATGCATAGACTCACACATTTCTGTGTATACAGAAATAGATGTATACGTTTTACATAAGTGGAATAATTTTATAGCTTATCTTGCTTGAGTAAAAGATTAATGTTTTGACATTGTTCTTAGGATATTTTTCTGTCCATCACAAACAGCCATCCAAAATATATTGTTGACAATATTTATTGACTTCATTACACACTTTTTATTTAACACTATTCAAGCGTCTTTCCTGGTTCATTTAGCAAGGTTTGGTGAAAGTTCCTAGTCTTTCTGGGGAAACTATGTGGACCATTGTCTTAGATAATTAGACTATTTCACTTGGTTCATACAAGGAAACAGGTAGGCATATAATTAGTCTTTTTTTTCCTATTTCTTTTCCTTTCTTTCTTTTTTTTTTTTTTTAGGCAAGTTCTCATTATATAGTCCAGGCTGGCTTCTAATCTGCAATCTTCCTGCCTCTGCTTCCCAAGTACTGAAACTGCAGGTATATACCACCATAATCCCAGTATTAATCAACAAATGTGTCTTGTCACAAAAAAGACATTGTCAGCAAGGTTCATGAGGAAGTACTAACAAATTTCTTGTTAAAATTTCACAAGCCTATTAGTCAGCATTGAGAAAAAACAATTTTTGCTAGTTTCTATTTATTCAAGAAATATTAATTATGAATCTATTATGTGTCAGGCATTATAAAATTCTCTAGTGACATATTCATGTAACTATTTCTTTTTTAAAAGCAAGAACTGAAAAATAATGCCCAAAGTAATGGGATGTAAATACTCTACACCATTACTACTGTGAGTATGACTATGAATGGCTCTTTCTATCATTTCTATAATTTCCTCCTATTTCCATGACAAAAAACACAGTATAGGTGGTGATAAACTGACTTATAAAAATGGGCCAAATATTTAAAAATACTTACAAAATATACACAATTAAGATTTAAATAAATGCTAGACATAGAAACAAATACCAGTGGTTATGGGGTTTTAAAATAACTTGTTGGCCTTTTAATGAATCTTTTATCATCACCCTGGTTATTTTGTGGTAAGTTATTTTATCTCTTTTTCCTTTAAATTGCCTTCTTAATGGCAGAGTCATTCAGGAAGCAAACATGCTTTCTATGCTCCAAAATAGAACTTATCTGTTAGCTATTTAAAAAAAAATATTTAGAGACTCTGAAGGACCATTATCCATTAAAATTAAGACATATGTTAACTCTGCCCAACACAGAACATTTTGAAGTGGTATCTCTCAACTCCTTTCAAGTATAAAGGAATAAGCTATCACCTGCAAGTCAGTCATTAAAGAATTTGGTACAAAAGATCTTAGAGCTATTAAAATGTTGGCTTAGTTTGTTCAAATACCTTAGTGAATAAATTGAAAAACTAGACAACAAAAGAGTTTCTGTAAGTGCTGAAACCAAACGTGTCTTCTGTATAACTCTGAGTTGGCAAGAATTGTCCAGACTTCAATAACTCTGACACTCATACTGAGTAAGTTTCTTCAGCACAGACCTGAGTTGAAGTGTGGAATGGGGGCAGGGGGGAAGAATGAAGAATGGGGAAGATGAAGGACTAGAACTGAATAGAAATATCTTCTCAAGTACTATAACATAGATAGGACTATTGCAAAATTTTTCAGGTCTGAACATTTTTATTTTGAAAAATATCATTTGTTGAACATCAAGTGTATGGATGTTACCCAGTTTCACTACAAAAGTCATTCATTTGAGGAAATTCTAATGCAATGTTGTTTCAGAACCTGCAAATTGTTACCGGGTACCACTCATTCTCTTTGGCTGTGTAATAAGTCAACCCCAAACTTAAGGGTTTAAAACAATTTATTATTTCTGATAATTCTGTATAAAGTAATTCTGAGAGCTTCTTCTGCTGTCCTCCTCTTCTCTGTGCTCACTTTAGTGGGTCTGCTCAGTAACTGAAATGACTGAGCATCAAAATGGTCTCCTTCCTATGGGAGGTGATGGGTGCTGCTGCTGGCTGCTGAGACTTCTGCTAAGCCACCTCCATGATCCTTTTCCTCCTCCTTGAAGTGGCATCACTTTACCTCTCAACAATAAACACAGAGGGGGGAAGGAGGAGAGAGAATAAGGGGAGGGAAAGAAGAAAAAAAGAAATGGGAAGAAAAGAAAAGACACAAGTCCCTCCTGTCTCCCACATCCTCTTGTCCCTCTCTTTCCTCTCCTCCAACTCTATGCCTCTCCCCCTTTGAGAAAATCATTGTCTCCTGGGAAAACTGAGTATATTTACTACACAAAGACCTTAACTAAGGCTGAAAGCTCATCATCATCATACTCTCCAAACCATAATGATCCTGGATGAGCCTGGTGTATAATGAAATATCAATAAATGTCAATAACTTGATATTTGATTGATGAATGTTTACAGGAAGGAGTCATACACTTCAATAATGTTAGCATGTAATTGGCAAAAAATACATAGGGAATATATAGTTTCTACAAACCTCCTAAAAAGGACTCATACAAATAAATTCTTAGGAGCACTAAAACTCATTCATACATAGGCAGAAAGAATATGAACAAATTTGAAAGAAATGGTGTTTGAACTATCCAGGTCTCAAATTTCTCACTGTGAAGGGGAATTGAATTAGGAACTTGGGGAAGGAACTCATACTTAATGAAGTAACTGCTTGGTTCCAGGAGAGCCCTTATTGCCTGTGATTTAGTATTGTTGTATTAGTGTACAGATGAGAAAACTAAGGAATGGAGATATTAAACAAATTATCAAGATCACATAGCTAGAAATACTTAGAAGTAGATTTGAAAGACAACTGCCGAGAGTTTGTGGACCGTAAAGAACTACTCCTTTTTTTTTTTAATGAATCAACTTTCTCTTTATCCAACCCTAAAAGTGGATTAGAAAGAATATACATGGCAGGAGAAACATATCCATTAAGAAGGTAGTTTATAGGACAAGGTTGGGGGTAGGTTGCATGCAATTTCTTATATTTAAGCAATAAGACTCCAGAATATATAGAAACAATTTTTTTAACCTAAACTGTAGGTCTTTCTATGATCTCTCTCTCTCTCTCTCTCTCTCTCTCTCTCTCTCTCTCTCTCTCTCTCTCTCTCTCTCCTTTTCTCCATCTGAAATATGAACAATCTTTCTCAGGAATATAACATTAATTCTGTTGACTAAGTGTGAACCAGGACTATCAGCCAAAATCAAAGTCATGCTATTCTCTGCCCTCTGCTACTCTTCCTTGATTTAGTCATGGAAGCAACTAGAAATTGCCAGGTGCCCCTTTGTGTGGTAAATTTTTCATTTCATGATATCCAGGAAGGGCTTTTGAAGTTATGTATGTGAGAGTTATGAGTTACCCGCAATGATTCTTTTACTTATGCAAGAATTAAAAACTATAAAAGAAAACAAAGCCACTAGTCATATTTTACCATAGAACTTGTCATACTTTGAGGAATGTAAGGATTATGTGAATGTGTCACACCCAGAGGCGAGCAGGAAAGTCTGCTAGAATGAAGGAAGAACACTACACATGTAAATTGTCTGAATTAAGGAAGTTACAAACAGTGGATTTTAGCTCACCACTTGTTTAGTACCAAGTGATTTCACATATAAGAGAGAATTTCATGTAGATAAGAGAGTGAAAATAGTATTTAGGGGTTAGTATGAGATAACCATAAAATATACCTCTAGAAGATATTCATTAGATGAGTTTTCCCCAGATATGTTCATCCTTGAATCTGCAAATGGCAAGATCAGCTAGTAATTGTAGCCACAATTGTGAAGAGTAGTGGCCATGGGTTACATCTGAGTAATACATTATAATTTATTATTTTATTTATAGAATGACCATTTGTAGTTGGCAGCATGGCTCAAGCAATAGAGTGCTCGCCTTGCAAGCAGGAAGCCCTGAGTTCAAACCTCAGTGCTGCCAACAATAAAAAATAAAAACCCAAAACAGAATGACCATTTGTAGAATGGGCATGATAACTATAATTGTAAGAATATTACAAATGAGGTCTGATTCTATAGTCTATAGGCAACTAAATTTATGAGTCTTGCTTCTTGAAAAGAATCACAAAAAATCTTGAATGACAACACAACAGAAGCAACTGGTAATGTTAATTTGTTCTCAAAACATATATTTCATTATCTAAAGGTCATTTAAAGTGCTTTTATCAGTTATTTATTCAATAAGTATTTAGGGCTGATATAATAAATAGTTATGGTAATTTGGTTTGCTCTTTTAATGTTTCCTATTATTCATAGGGTTAAAAAAGGTACTATTTGAGAGAGCAAAGAGAGACCACATAATTTTAATGTTCTTTAAAAATTTAAGGGTATTTATTGCTTTTATATGTTGTTGAAAAACTTGCCAGAAAACCTATATCCTTTAAATGACTCTAGGTTTTCCCATGTTTTTGTATCTGTTTGTTTCTGTCTTCTTCTCTTTTTCTGTTGTATGGATATATCAACATATAAAAGCAGAAAATATACTAATCTATTTGATATTTCACACATACATGGGAAAGGGCAAAAGATATAGGAAACCTATGTATCCTAATACCTATTAATTAGGTATTAATTATATATATTTATTATATATATTTATTTATTTTATTTGATTTTTATTAATTTATTATATATTCATTATATATATTAATAATAATAGGTATCCTAATATTTTTAGTATATACTAACATAAGCAAATATAGACCTATCTAAGCATATATAATGTATTAATCAAATTGCAATTTTTATGTGTACACTAGTTATATTAGTCTCCTTTTCTTTTTCTTGATTTCCTAAGAATGGGCTATTTATATGAATTGCTATTTTAATGCTAGAAAAATAGTGGGGCTTCTTTAGCTTAAATCACTTCAGTTTAAATATCTCCTATGTGCTACAACTGTCTTAGAAACTGAGATGAATATTATAAACCCCACCCTTATCTTCATGGAGGTTACAGTGAAGTTGGAATAGCCTGACACTAAACAAATGACTATATATAAATATACTTCATAAACTCTGTAAAAAGTATGAAATGCTATAAGAGGATAAAAAAGGAGCCTTAATTGATAAGGGAAAATGTCAGAGAGTTTGCTTCAAAATGAGAAGGATGGAGTTAGCCAGGTGGAAATGAAGGGTAGGTGTGATAAGTTGTGTAAAGGGGCTGGGATGTAGTTCAGGTAGAAAGCTTGCCTAGCATGTATGAGGTCCTGGTTCCATCCCAGCACCAAAAAAGAAAAGACAAAATAAAAATAAGTTTTTTTTGGGGGGGTTGCATATGCCAAAGCCCTCATTGGATTACCTATACACAAGAAGCAGAAAAGAACCCTACAAGAGGAAGTTTATTGATTTTAGGACACTCTGTGACAACCTGGGTCAGGATGACTTACTAATTCACTCTGTCACTCTGTGCCACACATTCGGAATGCAGAGATAGATGAAGTATTGTTAATGCTCTAGAAGAGTTCTTACTAGACTAGGGTTGAGGAAATTTATAAGCAAATAATAGCAATGCAACATTTGTTATAACTCAGCTATCTAGCATCTTGAAGACGCTATAGAAATATCAAAGTGGAAAAGATGAGCTGTGGTGGGAATGGCAAGGAGAACTTCATGAAGGAGATATTGCTTGAGCTGAGCTCTATAGTATGAGTAATTCTCCTCTAGGCAAAAAGGAGCAAGTTCCTTCCAGGTACAGCCACAGCAAATGCAAAAGCACGGACCCAGGAAAGAACATGACTGACTGGGGAACTAGATGCCTGATTGCAAAGAATGTGAGGGAGATGTGAGGTTGAAGTAGTAATCAGCAGTGAGATGAGACACGACCTCTTTTGCTGGCTGAATGACTTTTATTTCATGTCTAGGACATAGGAAGTGTGTTAGCTTTGTGTTACTGTATCAAATACCTGAGATAATCAACTTCAATAGAGGAAAGTTTTAATTTGGCTCACAGTTTTGGAACTTTCAGTCTGTAGCTAATGGTCCTCTTGCTTTGGGCCTGTGGCAGCACAGTGCATCACATAGGAACATGGAAGGAAAAGGTCTGTTCACCTCACAGCAAAGTGAGAAGGAAGATGAGAGGAAAAGAGGGACCAGGGTCCCTAGTCCCCTTCAAAGGCACGCTCCTGATGACCTTAGACCTCCAACTAGGCCCACTTCCTAACGGTTCCACCAGCGCCCAATAGCACTAAATTGGCCACTCAGCCTTTAACACCTGGGCATCTGGAGATTTGAGATCCAAACTATAGCAAGGAACTAGTTAAGGATTTGAGATGGGAAAGTCTTATCCTAGTTGTTTTCTAAAGACCTCAGTGACTAGTAATGCTGTGAATTAGAACCTGAAAGGCAGTAAGCTGGGTGAAAGGTTAAAGTGATTCAAAGGCATAGGGATAGTGAAATGAGGGCCTTCTCTGCAAGCCAGAGAGGAGCAGGGTTAATTTCATGAATAATGTAGAACTAAAACTAAGTAAAATTCAATGTCATAGTACAAGGAAGAAGAAACAGCAGGAGTGGCATTCAGAAATCTTTTATTTTTTTCTTTAAAAAGTTCTAGAATATTTATTACAAACCAATAAGGCCTATTAAAAAGTATAATTTTAATATAATGGATGTGATAAATGTACATTTTCTCATAACTTTTAAAAGACACAGCTATCTAAACATTTTAACAATGTTATACATTTTTTGGAAGATTAATTGATGAATTAATATTTAAATATGTCAAATGCCAAGTATGTTTTCAAGACTTGCAGTGTACAGATCATCCTTAAGCTTGCTTTTATTTAACAAAAAATTAGCACATTTCTATAAAAACTAGAAGTGGGGAATTTACCTGTTTCTTATCTTCATCCATCCACACATTTAGTCATTTGAATAATAGTATTCCTAATAAAATAGTTAATAAATACCATATACACTCAAAGTTTAATGATTAAGTCATGACATTATGCCATACGAAGAAGACATCAAATGTCTAAAATTATAGGAAAAGGATGTATTAGTCCTTATAGAACTTAAACATTTTAAAATTCTAAATAAGTCAATACATCCTACACAGGTTACTGTATGACACACCAGCTTTCTAATAAAATATAACTTGAATACCATATCAGGTTCAAGAGTAAGGAAGTTCTATAGCATGTTATCCAAGAAACAATAGTAAAATATTTCCTATTTCACAAGAGTGAGAATAAAAGTGCTCTCCTCTTAATAGTTTTCTAACAAAACATCACTGATCTAATTAATCCACAGAATTTTCATTAACACTATAAGGAGTCTATTCTAGCAATACAACACAGTGAGACATTGAAAGATTATCGACCAGTGATTCTTGGCTCAAAGATTCTAATAACATAGATGATAAAATAATAACAAAGAGCAGGAACTACTACACTAAATACTGAGCAGAAAGCTTTAGGGGCAAATAAAGGTTTTCTGTTCCTCTTCAAAGTAGGGAGCCCACAAAAAAAAAACTGCTGGAAAAAATTGACCCTTTCATTCTCATCTTCCCTGGGTCCAGAGTTTCTCTCAGAAAATTGCTCTGCTGAAGACTGGATAATTTCTTCAATGCATGGTCATTTCTCTTAATCAGTTTTCTTATTTCCACTGTTGAGAAAAGAACCATCAGTTTAACCAAATTTCCACGCTCTACTCTGCTCCACTTGTTTTCAAAGCACAGTGCTTAAAAGAGTGATAGAAGAGTGACTATAATCAAAGTATATTATACACGTTTGGAAATATCACAATGAAACCCCTCACATTGTACACAATTAATGTGCACTAATTTTTTAAAAAGCAGTGCTTAAAACCGTAAATAAAGCATAGAGCTATATTATATATAATGAATTCCGTTACCCTCAGGCAATTGCATGTAAAATTGTGTGCTACAGATTTCCCCCAAACATTCTAAGACAACTTTCCCTTCTTAAGAACCTTTTTATTCTAAGCACTGTCTAGAATGTGGTACCCAGACCCTGGAGGGAGAATAAGGACCTTGTCAACCTCCAGAGAAGAGATTAAAAAACCATAAAGATCAAAGACATAACTACCTGTCCAACATTTTCTGCAAGATTTTCTTGATCAAAGGGGCTTCTGAGTCCAGGCACACTTCCTTTCCGTTCTTCAGGGTGGCTCTGCAGAGAGAAATAGAGGGATGCACTCGTGAGCCACAGGGGCTAAAAACCCAGGCTGGAGGACTTGCCAAGGTCACGGTGCATACCACATAGCAGGAGAACTTACATCACTTCCACCTTGGAACACTGTGGACCTGCGGCAATCACCTGCAGATTAGTGATCATTTTGAGGTGAACTCCAGGCGTAGTGGTTAAACAAATGCAACGCAACTCTCTCACCACAGCCACCGCCGCGACAGGACCAGCTGAGGAAGAAAGACAGGGCTTTCAGAGGTGCTGGGAGAGCCCTTTCCCCAGCCCCGGGATGCGCTGCCAGGACAGGGAGCATCCGCTTGTCCGGAGGTCTTACCTTCAGCCAGGGGTGCCTGCGGCGTCAGCAGCAGCAGAAGCACCAGCAGCGCGCACAGGGAGCCCTCGGAGCGCAGGGCTTGGGCAGAATGGCAGGACCGGAGGCGCATAGCGAACGAAGGAGCAAGGCTATAGAGAGCGCGGGTTCCTTTGAGAAGCTGCAGGAAGCACAGAGATTTGAGGCTCCAGAGCAAGGTGGCTTTCTCTAGCTCTTTGCACTCCTTTTATCTGCATTCTCCCCTTCCTGTAGGCAGGAAACTCAAGCTTGAAGATTGAGGGGAAATTCCCTGGACTTCGGGGTGGGAGTTAGTAGAGGGGGGGCCGGGCAGTGGGACTTGGGGAGGAGAGTGGCTGGGAGGAGAAGCTTGCACCCAAAGAAGACGTTGAGGCTCCGCCCCGCGGGGAAGAGAGCTGCTGCTTCCTCCTGATGGAAGAAGTGATTCCTTGGGGCTTTCATCCCAGAGCCAGCCAAGGCTAGCAAGGCCAGCTTCTCCAGCGAGGACAGAGGCCTCTGGAGGGCCAGAGCCCTCTCTCCCAGAAACAGAGGACTACTGGAGCCAAAGTAATGGAAGTTTAACTTGAGAAAATCTTCTGTAGATCTTTTGCTGTCATTATTATTAGTAGTATCCGTGATTAGAACTATGCCAAACTCAGTCCTTCTTCTTGCAGGCAAATCATTCTAAGGTTCCTTGTATTACCCAATGATTCTCTGGAATTCAGCCAGGTTTAGAAGCCAAGAAAATATAAAAGTATTTCTACTTTCACTTGCAGTCAGTGGTAGGAACTGGACTTTGGAATCAAGTCTGCTTGCTGGAAATCCTACACTTGCAGTTTAACAAGTATATGTGTCTCATCTGGAAGTGGTTTAACAACAACAACCAAAAACCTTCAAAAACTACCCAGCAAATTGCCCTGGAAGATAAGGCCTTGAATTAGACATTTTGGTCTTTGCTGGGGTGAGGTGGAGTAGAGTAAATGCAGACTAAAACAATACCAGAGAGCCCATGCTTGCTGTCACAGCTCTCTGACTCTTCAGCCAGTTGTGGATTTGACAGAATTTGGAGAAGCTACTAGAGGCTGTTTCATATGAGAAACTCACCTGAAGTTTGATATAAGGGTTTGAGTCAAATTATCAGCAAGATAATGCCCAGTCTAATTTACCCCAAACAACCCATGGGGTAGGAAGAAATGCCTCCCCCACAGGCTTCTGGAACCTTTCAGCATTATGATCAGTAGTGACTAAACTTATTTCCAATACCTGTTGTAGAGCCCAGAGCTGCCCCCTGAAAATGAAGGGTGTGATGACTTCCAGAATTTATAATTTTATGACCAGGTCTTCACCTATTACAGTCACGGCTATGATACTGGGTGACACACAGATTTTCTTTCATGGAAATGTAAGTAGATCCTGACCTCTTCTGAATCGTCCTCAAGACCTTTGGCCTCGTAGTAGGCCAGCAAAGGCAATTAGTAAACATGATACAATCAGAAACTAGTCATGTAATGAAACTCTTTTCCTTATCCCCTGTGACTCTGAGGAATTTGGTAAACTCCCCCACCCATCTTTCTTGGAATAACACCACTTCTATTGCTGAGCAAGAAGGTATCCTAGCCCCAAGAATTTTATCCTGGGAGGAAACAAAGTCTCTGGCTGAGGAAGGCTGAGAAGTTTGTGGGAAGCTGAATGGGAAGTTCTGTGTCCTGCACAACTTCCTGATATCATCAGCATCATACCTGATTCAATAAATGTAATTCTTCATTGTCAGGTCAGGGGAGTGGTAATCTGTAGAAAACAGCCTGTAGACTTACTATATTGTAGATTAGAAAGTAGCTAGAGACAAACAATAAGCTTCACTGAAGTGCCTGAGACAAAACTTCAAAAATGTGACTAAAGATCTTGAGCAATTAAATTCAACTTAACGACAGGGAAGAAACCACACTGTAATAAGACTTTGTGAAAAAAACTTAATGACATAGTTTATTGGGTGTTTAAAGTGAGTGTGTGCATGTGTGTGCATGTGTGCATGCATGTGAGCCTATTTAGGTTAGTTCCAAATAAGCTATTTTAAATATAAGTGAACAAATTATTAGTTTGGGCACTAAATGATAAGATTAGATAAAAGTTATGAGATGAGGTTGCCAGTTCTGCCTGACAGTGCAATAGATATACATGTCTCACCTGCTTTGCATGCTGAATTAATTCACCATGGGTTACATACAGACTATAAGGAGAAAAACAATGTCTCTAACGGACAAGCAAGTAACAGAAAATCCCCATTAGAAAGGGGCTGTTGGGTTACCCAACCAGATCAGGAAGCAGTGTGTAACCCAACCTGGCTTCTCACTGAAATCATTTTGGACCACTGCCAATGTCTGGCTCCTGTCTAGGCATCTCTAATATTGGCCCTGTATAAAGATAAGAAGACATGTGGGTGATCCAAAGATCCCCTGACTTTGAGAATGAAGTACTATCAGCAATTGTTGCTTTATTCAATTTAAAGAGGAGTTATTTGTCTTACATGATTGTGTCCGGGTGGTAGAGAAATGCTCTGTGTTGTTTTTCCCCAACTATAATAAAACAATCCACAAAATGACAGTCATCCTGATAGCCTCACAGATTTACTGTCTGTTAAAGCAAACTAATTTAATCACAGTACCACAGAGTAATAATGCAAGATGAATGAAAGCGTTCTGAACGGTTTGTAGCTCTCAAAGCACTTTCGTGCTTATTATTTCTTGAACCATATACTGGTTCTTTGAGGCAGATAAGAGAAATTCTCTTTCCCCTTAATCAACTACAGAAAGCAAGGCCAAAGCAAGAGTTAAGAAGTTGAAAATCGGCTGGAGGGAGCGTGGCTCAAGCCCTGAGTTCCCAGTACCACAACCAAAAACAAAACAACTGGAAGTTGAGCGCTAGAGAATCTACCACAAGAAATATTCAATGCTTTCCAACTACAACCACTTTCTTCATAGTTACTGGCAAACTTAGCCATTTTATTGTATTGCCTGACAATCTTATTTTAAACTATTGAAGCTCTTGATCTATCCATGCCTGTCTTTGGGGCCACAATAATTTAAAAGGTCCAAGAGACTTCCAGGTCACCATGTGGAATTGCCCTCTACTTTCTATGTCCTTTGCTTTCTTCAAGACAAACCCAAAGTCTTCTCTGTTCTCAGAAGATTTTCTCTGACAAAACCATCTGAAATATATTCCTTTCACCATTGGTCTTTGAATATCTAATGCATTTATCATAGCTACCTCCTGAAGCAGAGTTTATTTATCCTTTTTTTTCTTTTACCTCCATCAAGGCAACTATAAATTCTAAAATCAGAGCTTATGACTTACATTTTTAACATAACTTCCAATAAGTTCTAATTTCAGTAGAAAGCAGTCTATGAACATTCCATGATACATAATGATAATAGCTTTTTATTGCACAATGTACTGTACCTTACCAGTAGATTTTTAAAGTTACGGAGGAAAGGATAGGTTATTAACTGTCATTTGCACTTGTATTTTTTGGAACTCTACTATTTTGACTTGGTTTGCTCCTGTATTACAAATTGTTTCATGATTATTGCTAAAGAGAATTCAAATGACATTTTCAGTCTTTGGAATCTGAAATCTTCAAAAGAATGTTCAGGACCCAGCAAGATATTTGACTTTAAAAGAAAGAAAATTATATAAGTAAAATATTGACCCAATTATGTGTTTTCTGTGACATAGAGATTTTTGGAGTAAATGACAAGAAGAAACTGTGATCAGAAATGCTGTGCTGAATGTTAACAGTGTGGGAAAGTCTTTCTACATTCATCTCATTCAACAAATCAGAGAAGACTTTAATTATGTCATTTAGAATATGGTACAGGACTTTTCAAATATTTTTAAAATTTTTGATTTTCATTTATATCCACCACTCTTTAAGAAAGGCTATATGACTGAATAAAGATGTTGACATATCAATATCTGGTTAAGCATAGGACAGACAGCAATCTAAGGAAGAAAATAGGAAGTGGAGGAAAAGTCACTCGCTTGTATGCAAAAGAAAAGAGGAAAGCCAGTAGTTCTTGGATCAATTTTGCAACGTTAGTGCAATCTCTCCGTCTCCTTCCACTTTGAAGTTAGCTACCAAATGAAGAGGCAGCATCATTCAGGGAATGTTGGCTTCAAAACTTCTCCACCTTTACTGTTAGATGTCAGCAATATTTTCCTTGTTCTTTTTGCCCATTGCCCATTTTTTCTTGCTGACCATTTCAGATTTAATATTCTTGAGAAAGGAAGAAAAAGAATCAATGAACCTCAACTGAGACAACACTGAGCTGGATTCCAAATCTGTCACTACATTGCTCTGTGCCAACTGCTGGACAGATGGAGTCACTAATTGTCTTTTGTTTAGCTGTGCAAGCCTAATTTTTTGTTGATAATAACAGATAATATGCAGGGAAAAAAAAGAGATGAGGATTCAACTTTTAAATGTCTCCAAAGGCCTTGTGATTCTCAGAAATAGGAAGCATTTATTGCTTTCTTTAGAAATTTGATCTGGGTTAAACAAAAAGTATGTAAATAACAAAAAGAAAACCTTTTTAATGGTAACTATTTTAAATAATTTGAGAAGGCATTTGTATGGTACCACAAAGTTCCTTTACGGGAGTTAGACTTCTAACACTATGCTTAATAAGGGCAGTTTGCTGTATTGATTCTGACCATCACTACCTTCACACTTTGTCCTTTTGTTTTTTACTTTGCAGAACATTCACTTCTGCATAGCATCACAATATATATTATTCTCATTTAATATATTATAAGACAGCATCATCGGTGACTTAATAGGAAGAGGTGTTATGGATTTTTATGTGTGTAATTTATGTACTTCCTAAACAGTCAAAAACACTTTTGCTTCCTTTATCACTACCTAAAAAATAGCAAAGACGTCATATTTGACAAGTATCTTAAGACAATATTTGTGAATGTATAAAAAGTGTGTTTTATAAATGATTCCTTACCACAAATCTTTTTTGAAATGTGATCAGAAATTCCTACTGAATAACTGCTTCTATGCACAGTTAAGATATTTTTACAAGAATTGGGAATAAGGAAATTTCTCCCACC